CAAGGTTCGATCCCTGCTACCACATGCTTTGCTGGCCCTGCACCAGGGTGATACAGTCCAGGTGTAGTGGCACACACCTATAATCTCAGAGCTGGGGAGGCTGAAAACAGGAGGATCACTACAAGTCTGATCTACGTAGTAAGACACTGTACAAAAATAAAGTAAAATAAAATAAAGTTTCTTCCTAGAATTCCCTGATATTCCCCCGGTGGACCCCAACTGCTGGAGGCCTCATGCTGTCCTGTTCACAAATTTACTGAGCAATCAAAATCTTTTAATATTTTAGTGTACCTCAGTTTACCTTTAACATTTGCTAAGGCCGAAGAGATAGCTCAGTAGAATAAGCGCTTGCTTGGCAAGCACAAAGGCCTGAATTCAATCCCAGGTTCTGGAAAAAAAAAAATTTGCTAAAATGTTGGGCATCATAGAGGGGGGTAGCCTTTAGGGACTAGGATACTAGACCAAATATTTCTCCATGCTGGTGGGAGCCAGTCTTACCAAACAAGGGGACCAAAGAGAGAGCAGGATCTTACCCCACTCTGTCTACTCTTTGTCTTACCCTCCCTGAACAGTGAACAGTGAGAGGAAATCAGAGGGAGGCTGCCTTGTGGGTGTGAGAGGTAGACACTAGAACCTTTTACAGTGAAGCATGGAGAGACAGGATGCTAATGAAACTGCCTGAAGTGAAATGTGATCCCATTTCCCAAGAAGCCAGTCTAAATTTTTTTCCATCCTGTCTCTATAGATTCAGAGCAGAGAACACAGTTATTAGTAAAGTTTTTTAACTTATTTAATGTTGATTTTTTTCTTTATGATCTTACTGTTTTCATTTTCAACTTATGTACTGCTGAAACATTTCCCACAGATTCATACAGTCATGAAGGTAGAACTGGTGCCACTTTCCGGGAGAGCGACTTGGCACCAAGTATCAGACTGGTCCTTCTTTCCATATGAAAGGTGACAGAACATGGTACTGCAAAATATGCCATGCACGTATCTGAAGGCAGCTGAGAGTCTATAGAACAAGAGTTTTCTGCCTCCTCCTGTCTGCTTAAAAGCAGGACATTAGCTTCCTTTTATGAAGGTATCTCTTTGCCTCATGCCAAAAAGAAAAGTCACCAAGATAAGAGGGTCAGTACCAAGACA